CGCCGAAATTGCGCCATATCCTCGCTGCCTCATGGTTTCCCCTGCCCCTCATTCACAGACCACTCACGATCCCATTCACAGACTTTAACCCAAAAAAAAAAAATCAAACCCAGATCGTTTCCTTATGATCTTAAATTCCCATATATATATATATATACACACAAACCCAGAAGCTGGGATGTCATTATTTATGCCTCCCCAATTGATGTCTCTGTTTTCCTGTTTCCAATTTGTAGATATACCCAACAGAGGTGGATGAGACGGCCTTTGACGGGCTGTGCTCGGCTCGGCAAGGATGAAGATGGGCTCGGCCGTGAGGAAGAAATCCGGTGGTGAGCTCGGCAGGACTGAATCGGTGAAATACTGCCCGGCAAGACGTGGACTGAACGGATGGCAGGGACAACACAACAGGAAGCTCCGAGGACGGTGATGGCTTCACAGAGAGCATGGACTCAAGAATCATGCACCGAAAACCCCTTCTCTCTCTGGATCGACTAAACCATCTCTCTTAGCAGTGAGCGGCAACGCCAACAAGAACTCCCACCATCACACACCATCAAACCACACCCACAAACCCACTATCACCACCCACCGCCACCCTCATCAACCATGGCATTCCCCAAAAATTAAAAAATTCGTAACCACACAAGGTCAGACCTATTGCCACCACTCCCCTCCCGCCACAACCATCGCCGCTACCTCACGCATATATACACACACAAACACACACATATATACGTTCTGTTCCCGAACCCTAACAACCTCGATGCCTTTACTACTACATGTCACGGCCCGTGTACCTTTTCGTGCTTGATACAGTCATGATCAAGGTGGGATTTTTGAAATCGATGTTCAAGTGAACCCATTTCCGGCGAGCTTTAGTCAAGCATAACAGTTCCCGCGATTGGGATAAAACGTGTTGGTGTCAATGGTAATTGGGGTTGTGGTTGTGGTTTAGGGTTACATCTCTTTCACTCTCTGTGCATATATATATATATATTCGTGTCCTGGACTAAGTCTGCATCTCCTCTCTCTGTGCCTATATTTTATATATCTTGCTCATGTATTGGACAATTTGGTATATACACATACATCTATAAATGTATCTGTGTCTCTTCCCCTCTCTCTGATTAACCAGGTTTTCATGAGAATTTTTCCAATCATTGGTATACAAACATAAGAAATCAAAGAAACCATCCCTTTGGTTCCTCCAAATCATAAGAAATCACCCCCAAAATCACTTCAATTCAGTACCAGAACGTGACATCGCTCCAACCCCTATTCTCAGCAGACATTTTCTCGAGAAAATAACGCAGCCAAGCTCAACCACAACCACCATTCAATTATGCGGACCATTAAATCATCACCTGAATGTCTGAAACTGATCCTCTCATGCCACCATCACTCTCTCTCCTCACTACTCCCTCACACCCACCAACCCTAACCCTCGTCCTCAAGGATTTTGTTCACTGTGGCGATTAGTTGCAATCCATTTGTCTCTTCAAGTACGTGGTCTGTTATGAGGTGCATGTTTGGGTATGAGGGTAACAAAAAGGGCATTACTGTCATTTCACATTCATAAGGGTATTATGGTCATATAAACTTAGAACTTGCATCACGTGACAGCACATGGGGTTTTTAACGATAATATTTGGCCGGCAATTCCCCGGATAGGGTAAACTGCAACAAAAGTGTATATTTTGGGGTTTTTTTTTTTTTTTTTTTTTTTTGCATTTTTGGTAGTTTAGGGGGTTAGTTGCAGATTTTATCTCAGTTCAAGGGTTTTTTTTGCACTTTTCCCTTATTATTACTCTCTTTTCTTTTGAGTATGTTTCTGTTGACCCAATTCATGATATGCACCAACAAGTTGGAAGGATCAGAAGTGTTTATATATATATATATATATATATATCCAGTTCAGTACCATCGTTCACCTTCTTTCTGGTAAGGGTTTTAGAACAATTGAAACTTGAACCCTAAAAATCAAAATCATGCTCTGAAATTACGTTTGCCTTTCGTTTCTATTTAATTTTAGTTTTCATGCCAAAACACGTCAAAGCTTTGGTTCTACTATTTTTTAATTGGATCGGTCAAAACAATTTGCCCTGCTTTTTTAAACTCATCAAAATTCAAGTTTAAAGTTTACAATAAGAGTGGAGTTCTTCAATTTGCAAAACCTATGGTGTGAAATTGCACTGTTAAACTGCATTTACCGCGCAATGTGCACACAATTAATTATATACTGGAACATAAAAAGACAATATATATATATATATATATATATATATATATATATATATATAGGGTTTAGAGTTTTAGGATTGTACACGTATTATATACAAAAATAGTCTTTTTTTTTTTTTTTTTTTTTTTCATTGATCAGAAACACAACTCACATCCTCTCATCTTTGAGGATGGGGAGGTTATAAATTAATGGTTTATGCTATGAATTTGATGATTTGATACAGATGGTATCAACAATCTAACAATTTCCATACTTAACAGTGGGATATGATTTTTGTTTGTGTGAACTTTGGTTTCTATGTTTTGAGCTGGGTTTGGGTCTTGTCCTTTTCTTTTGTGCTTTGTTATCTATTATTTACGTACTTTTGTTACCTGTTGTTAATTACATCTTTCACACACACACACACACACATACACACACAACACACACACACACACACACACACACATATATATAGTTGTTATATATATTGTTTTCCATTTCTAGGATAAAAATGGCAGATCCTTCTGCTGGTGAAATGGAAACCATTACAATTGAGTGGACTATCAACAAGATGCAAAAATTAAACAATTTTTTTGACAATATGATGACGGAGGAAAAAAGGTTTAACTTACCGATGATCATGCATTTACTCAAAACTTTTGGAGTTGATAAAGCAATAGAACTGTAGCCAGAAATTGGAAAAAGTCAAATATTCGCCTTGGCACAAGCTGAGGGCCTCTGGGTTGGGAGTTCTGATGATGATATTGCTTCTACCCCTGCCCCTGCCCCTGCCCCTGATGTTGTTGTTTCGGACCCTGCCCCTTCTTTACTTCAACCGGCTAGACAAACGGATGTTGTTTCTCACCCCGCGCCACCTTTAACCTAGATGTAGACGGAGGAGGGATCATCGTGATTTTGAAAATTTTGTTTTGAAAGATTTCATCCTGATGATACCAAAATTTTATCTTTTTAAATGCCACTTTGGATGTCATGTTCAAGTATTGATTTTCATTTGCAGTTAAGTTTTTGACAATTTGGAAGATAAAGTTTGCATTCATTTGATCTTCATGCTTAAACTTGAAGACATATTCTACTTCATCATGATCACATTAATGTTCTAACTTATATTTATTTATTATTATTTAAAAAAATTTATAATTAACTCAGCTCCTAACAGATTTTCATGTTTGTCCTCAGTAGTTGGCATGGTGGTCTTATTTGCTCAGTTTCTTTGCATTTGACTCCCAGTATATGACATTATTTTTATGGTGATTACAATTGTGATATCCTAAAAGTCTTCATAATGATATGCATATAAACATTGTAACATCAAGTACATGCCCAAAGCAGTCTTTCACAAGCTGGTTGCTCTCAATACAGAAAAGCTTGGATGGTTCTTAGTAGGTACATATATTCACTAAACATAACAATCAAAAATTTATACTATATAATTGAACAACTAAAGAAAGTGCTCGTGTTGATCATAATGTATTCGTGTCATAATCGTGCTGTGTTCGTATGATGAAGCTTAACTTATTTAATCCGATTAGAGCTGTTATGGTGTTATGTTCGTATTATGAAACTCAACCTATTTAATCCGATTAGAGCTATTAAATTAATCATGTAAGGTAAACCCGATTAATTTGTAACTTGTTTTAAACCACTTACTATGAACATTTCAATATCAATCCAATATGTATGTTGTATTTGGCCCTTTTTTTTTTTTAAAAAAAAAAAAAAAACACACACACTCTCTCTCTCTCTCTCTCTCTCTCTCTCTCTATATATATATATATATATATATATATATTATCTCAATTTATATTATTTTCATGAATTTAGTCATTCCTTATCTCAACTTTTTATTATATTTGCATTTTATACTTAAATTGACAAACGGGTTACATGACCTATTTAAATTAACGGGTTAAACGGCTCATTAACCGAGTCGTGTCATTACATGACCCGTTTATTAAATAGGTTATACGAATTGTGTAATGTTACTCATTTAATAAATGATCATGTTCATGTCAATGGTTCCTGACACAGAGCTGTGTTCGACTTTACTTGTTAAGAATAGTTATGAATTGACATGAAGCTATTATGACCCGCCAATACAAATTGTCACTCCCACATAATGGGGAGGGTATTGGGTTTATAAGAGTAGGTATATAATATCGCCCAACAGTTTAAACTTTGAGATCGGATAACAAGTGCCCGTGCTCATTACAGTGGTATCAAAGTAGAACCAATCTTTGATATGGTGTCACATCAAGTATTTGGCACAATGGATTGGGTTCATGTTGTTATCGGTCCTTTTATCATTAGGATAGACAAGTAGGCGTTACGAGTTTGAGTGATAGAAAGTGTTAAAGATTGGCATTAGGCTTCGAATCTGAAATACCAACCAACAACTTAATTGCATGTGTATATATTTTATACAGACATGATATGTGAGGAGACAATGGCCTAAAATATACACACATGCAAAAGGCCTATACGTCAAAGTGATATGCTAAAGGGAAAATTGCAAAAAAAAAAAAAAAGTAAATAAATAACTTTCATGAACTACACCTGTGGCATAAAGACTCATGATAAATGGCAAAAACAATTGCCACACCTTTTTTTTGGAGATGCAGGGTATCGAACCCTGTGCCTCTCGCATGCAAAGCGAGCGCTCTACCATTTGAGCTACATCCCCTCTTTGCTACACTTCTGCAGATAGAAGGTCAAGTTTTTTTTTCTCATAAAGCTGAAAGCCCAGTGCTTAAACTTCCCAGAGAGAGAAGCCCCTGAAACCCCAGTAGCTCTTTTCCCCTCTCTCTCTCTCTTAAACGCCCGCACTCTCTCTCTCTAGAAATGGATTTTCAGGTGGTGGTACTCGCCGGAGGCGCTTCAAAAAATCTCGTGCCTCTGGTTTCCAAGGTTTTCTCCTCCTCTCAACCTCAAAACAACCAGTACACACACACATATACATATACACCTTAGTAACTACGATATCTATATATATGTATGTATAATATATCTATAATATTTTCTGAAAATTTGTACAGGAGGTTCCAAAAGCGCTACTTCCTGTGGCGAACCGGCCGGTCCTCTCCTACGTTCTCGAACTTTTGGAACAAAGTAATCTCAAAGATCTCATTGTTGTACGCCTCTCTCTTTCTCTACTGTGCCCTAATTACTTATCGGTTTGGTTTTCACTGGAACTATTTTGTTTTTTGTTTTTGTAATTTGCGAGTGATCGATTGAATTTTTATTTTTTATTTTTTATTTTTTTTTATTTTTTTTATTTTTAGAAAGGAGTCTTTAATGCTATGCCTTTTGATTTGTGAAGGAAAATTATGATTCTGTGCAAATTAATGTTCTTGATTTGCTCAATGGTGTGCTGTGTAGGTAGTTGAAGGGCAAGACGCAGCTCTTCAGGTTGGTGCTTGGATTTCGGGGGCTTATGTTGATCGTCTACATGTTGAGGTAACTATCAACTATATTAGAGAATTGGCTTGTTAAAGCTACTCAAGTGGTGATTGACCTCTATGATTGTAACTTCTGGAATTCTTACTCTTTAGAAGTTAGGAAGAACTGAATGCATGTGCTATGGCCATAGATTATGTCTATTATGCATCTATGCTGGGTTTTATAATCCTGGTTTTTTTTTTCTCTTTTAATTGTCTTGAATATAAATCACGAGATTGCATGTTTTTCCTTGAATCTCTATTGAGAGGTAAGGGATTAAATCCTTCTAGGAAATAAAGTTTTTGAATGAGGTTTCCTCTACCTACATTTGCGAAGGGTGGATTTTGATGTGAAAATTCCCCGCCCCCCCACCCCCCGCCCAACCCAAATTATTCACCGTGTCTCAAAAGTAACTTATATTAAAATGCCCATAAGGGAGGCTGGCCTCTGTACAACTGAATGCACTAGAAACTACAAAACATACCAAAGGCATATTCTCATTTCCTTTGAAAGCATTAAAGAAAATCTACACACAAGGAAAATGTTTGTGTGATTGATTAAAATGGATCTACGTATAGCATGCTTAATAGGCTAAATAAGGGCTTAGCCCCTTTGAATGATCTTCTATCTCTCTCATTGAAAATACTACACTATAGAGTATATACATAATGGATTTGCTTCCCAAAGTGTTGACTCTCTTCCCCACTCTACGCCCTTTCTAGCTGTTAAGCACCTTGTTTGTTAATCCATGGATCAACCAGTGAACATCAAATAGATTGAAAGAGGGAGTCAAGTAATTTCTGGATTACTAATAGGGGTGCACACGATTCGATTTGGTTTGGTTTAGAGGGTAAAGAAGAACCAAAGCAACTGTAATTGCATCAATAAATTTGGAACTGAACAAATGAACCGTCTAAATTAAACCAATCAGAACCATATAAGAAAGGTTTGTTTCAGTCCAGTTTAGTGGATTAAGCTTACTTTGTAATATCTTTAATAAAACTAAATTAGTTTAACTTAAACCTAACTTTGATGACCTAAACAAAAATTTCCTCTATTTACCTACTTGATGTTGCATTTCTATATCTAGAATATGCTAGTAACATAGCAATAATATATTCATTTCAAGAACTGAAAAACTATTTTGTTAATATATTTATGAGAATGAGGATCAAGATTAAAGGACATGTATATAATATATATATATATATATATATATATATATATATATATATATATATAACCTTTATATAAGCCACACTGTGTGCGGTGCTAATGTTCGTACATTTTACCCTCCCTTTGTGCACTTGGCTGCCCTCTTTTTAATTTTATATTTTTTTATGTAAGCATATGGTTAACTAATTTATCAAGTAATAAAATGAAAGCAAATATATGTATGTTTAAGTTTTTCGGTTTGGTTTTTGTGACATCTAAACCATGAACTGAACCAATCCCAACTGTTCTGCTAATCTTGGAATTGATATCCATCCGTTGATCCACAGATGACAAAACTGAACCAAACCATACAGTTTGGATTGGACTGACGATTTTAATGGATCCATGTGCACATCTAATTACTAGGCAATGCACAAATAGATGATTGAACATCTTCTCACCCCTCTGCATATGCAGGATCAGTTAATTACTGCGTCCTCTTCATTAGATTGTTGAGATTTTTGGAGAACTAATATCCGTAGAAAATGATTCTTTTGAAAGGGGCTGTTGTGTGTCATTAAGCTTTTCAAGGGAATCTTGCCAACCCTCAACTGCCGTAGAAAAATCTCATCTTAAAGGATCCTCACATAACCAAATCTATTTCAAAGAATTGACCCCGCACTCCACAACAAGAACCGAGAATAGATTGTTGTATACTCAACTCACCTTGTCTCAACTATTTGGCCTTTTTTGCCATTCCGCTCTGTCTAGGGTTAGGCTTAAGTTAATCCGAACACTACTGTGTTTTCCATACCATCTCATGGTAGTGTTGGTATTCCCTTTTACCTTGCACTACCTTCAAATGTTGATGTTGTCACTCTTTGTTACAAGTGCATTTTTTAATCTTTGTTTGACATGGACAAATCTCTTAGATGTCTTCTCTGGTTTTATAATCAAAGGGTTGCTAGTTCTACGTTCTCAAACTCCATCTCTTAGTTATCTGAAAAAAATTATTCAATTAATGGTCTTTGGGTTCAAGGGGAAGCATTTCTGTGTAAGTAGTAGGGAAATACATGTGTGAAGGGCAAGAATGATAATCAGTGGTGAAATCTAGATTGATTATTTTCTATATTCCATGTGTCATGCTGTATCAATAGCACCTCCAATATCAAATTTAGATTGTCATAGTATGCTATTAAGTGATGGGTATGCTGTAATGAGAGTCCCCTTATTCTCATTGAACAATAAAGCTCTTTCACTCAACTTATTTGAAGTGTTAGATTGTTCATCACCCGTTAGTAGAGTCATTGCTGTTAACTCTTGAAAAAATCAATATCTTGTCTCTCTACTTTCAACGAACGGGGAAATGGTCACTGTCAATATCAATGTACATGTGTATTGGTTGAAGCAAGGACCTGATCCCGGATGGTAGAGAAAGGACCCTGTAACGACTGTATTGGTTGGAAGCCAGGACCCTGATCCTGATGGTAGAGAAAGAACCCAAGAGAGCCAGTAACATTAATGAATCAAATGGAGTTCTAATATATAGTGGCTGACAGCTTTCACTGTATAATGGGTAGGGGTGTTTTTTTCCCCCCCATCATCTAATGGCATAATAGTATTCTTATAAAATGCTTAACTTATGCTGCAAGTGACATTGATTAAAGAAAATGTGGTGGATTATAATATAAACATAGTATTTGTCCTAGATAGCTAGATGTTAGATGTCTCAATATCAGGGGAGTATTGGCAAGCAGCTTCTGTGTTGTCTTTATGGAAAATGTAGAATTTGGAATTTGTTTTGTTTAACAGAACTCTCATTCCACTTCTATGAGGAGCACAAGAAGCTCAATTTTTTTTTTTATGCAGATTCATAAGTTACCCAAAATTAATCTCTCTCTCTCTCTCTCTCACACACACACACACTGTGCAGCCCTTTCTTAGAGCTGGCAACATGTGCCTCATTCATATTATGTTGTGCAATTATTCATTGTTAATATTTGAGGACGCTTCATCACTATGAAACTCACAAGTTCTTCTAAGAAAGAGTTTAAGTTCAGTTTTATATGTTTGCAGGTAGCTGCTGTCCCTGAGGATGTTGGGACTGCTGGTGCTCTTCGGGCCATTGCAGGTCATCTGACTGCAAACGATATCTTGGTTGGAGTTCTCATCTTCTATAGTGTTTGAGTTCAAGTGAAAAAAAAAGGTTATTCTACTGCAACTATTAGTTCTTTATGCTTATGCAGGTTGTGAGTGGTGATCTTGTTTGTGATGTTCCTCCTGGGGCAGTGGCGGCTACTCATAGACGACATGATGCAGTGGTTACTTCAGTGCTCTGCTCTGCTCCTGTCACTGGACCATCAGATACGGGTTCCTCTGGAGGAAAGGACAAAGCCAAGAAACCAGGACGATACAATATTATAGGGCTGGACGCCACGAGACAGTTTCTACTGTATATTGCAGCTGGTGAGATGACTGAGGTCCTCTAATTTCTAAAATTAGACATGTAATCTGAAATGTTCCCTTACTTTGCATCATGTGTTACTCTTGATAGGAGCTGAAGTCGAGAAAGATGTTAGAGTTCAAAAGAGCATTCTCCGGGCAGTAGGCCAGGTAAATGGATTTCTTTGCGTCACTCTGTTATGTTACTTTTGAAAAATTCCTCTTGGAGTGACAACTGATGCGACAACTGTTGAAAATTTTCTGTCTGTTGGTGTTTTTCCCCTTGTCATTACTTGTATTTTTTTCCCCTACTTTGGGATGTATTGTTTGCCATTGGGAGGGGTAACTGAGAGCATTTAATTGCATTTGCTTATTGAATTCTTTTCCCATCCCCTAGTTTGTATGCCTCATTAGTTGTGAATGCTTTTGTGAAAAGTTATTTTCTACCTTTCTCTTCCTGGCGTCTGCCTGCCAATGAAATATATTAACCATCAATTTGAGAATTTTCAACCATTCATACCTTTTCCTACTCCCTCTCCTTTTCCTATGACTTTTGACTTATCTTGTTTTCTCTGTTTCTTTTCCTTTAAAAAAAGATGAGCATCCAACTGGAAAATATCCCAAAATATTACAAATTTGCCCTTGGTTCTCAGGCTCTATTTTTCATCCTTGTGTAGATGGAAATTCGTGCAGATCTGATGGACGCTCATTTATATGCATTCAAGAGGTTTGAAGTTTCGTTTTTTGCTTCCAAGTATTTTTTACCTTCAGTCATCTCAAATTGTTTTTGCTTTGTCTATTTCTCACTACTGTTTGAATCTCTTGCAGATCTGCTTTGCAAGAAGTTCTTGATCAAAAGGGGAGTTACCAAAGCTTAAGGCAAGATGTACTGCCTTATCTTGTCAGGAGCCAGCTGGTTAGTTTGACATGACACCTGCATGATCTCTCTCTCTCTCTCTCTCTATATATATATATATATTTTTTATTTTATTTTATTTTATTTATTTATTTGTAATTAATTTTAATTTTAATTTTATTTATTTAGTTTTTGGGTGATGACTCTCAACTCATTGATATTTTTTGATAAAACATCAGAGGTCTGACTTATTATTGAATGGAGCACAAGCAGAAGAAAATGGGAATGAGAAGGTTGCTTTCCAGAGCAACAAAGTAATGCCATCTCAACTGCTGGCAAATGCATCTACCCCAAGTTTTCATCAACTCTATGCCTTTGGTGACAATGGTTTGTCTCCTGCTCTGAGGAAAACCCATAAATGCTGTGTTTATATTGCCAACAAAAGCAAGTACTGTGCGCGCTTGAATTCGATTCAAGCTTTCAGCGACATAAATCGAGATGTGAGTTTTTTCAGTTGAAACTTTTTGTGAGTGCTTAGAAGTTTGTTTTACTTTTGTGTTGCTTTTTTTTTTTTCTCTTGCATTTGTTTGATCAGGTGGGGCTGATGGTCATACTTAAGTGTGTCAGGTCATAGGAGAGGCAAGTCACCTGTCAGGATATTCATTTTCTGCTCATAATAACATAATTCATCCTTCAGCGGTTCTTGGTTCAAAAACAACAGTGAGTTGCTCTCTCTCCACAAAATCTTTGTTTATGGAAAACTTGTTGGTTTATTGTAATTGGTTTATTTACAAAGGCAATTATCAGACAAAAAAGGTTTAGTGATTAAGAGTACCTGTGAATAGCTTAAATTGGTGTTTGCATCTGGCTAGATTAGAATATTTGTGGTTCACTGACTCCAGGTCATTCTCAGTATGCTCATTAAGTTATTTGCTTTCATTAATTAGGTGGGCCCACATTGTATGTTGGGGGAAGGTTCACAAATGGGTGACAAATGCAGTGTGAAACGATCTGTTATTGGCTCTCACTGCCGGATAGGTTCCAATGTAAAGGTAAAATGAAACTTACTATAAAGAGAATGTTATTATGAAGCATCTACCTCCAAAGAATAAAAAAGAAAACCATAAAGGATTTTCATCTATATATTATTTGTTGCAAAGAGCTGCAACTTTTATTATTAACTAATGCTGGACTTTATTTATATCTCAGACTCGTTGCAGAACTACAGTTGAGATAATTGCAAATTGTTTTGATCCCTTGTATCCGCAGGTTGTTAATTCAGTTGTGATGAACCATGCTACTATTGGAGATGGTTGTTCAATTCAAGGTTCCGTTATTTGCAGTAATGTACAGCTCCAAGAGCGTGTTGTTTTGAAGGACTGTCAGGTTCTCTCTCTCTCTCTCTGCGCGCGCGCCTGCGTGCATGTGGTCACTCATATGTGCTTTGTGTTTCACTTCAGGTTGGAGCAGGTTATGTTGTTACTACTAGCAGTGAGCACAAGGGGGAATCCTTGGCGAGGAAAGAGAAATTCCAATCTCAATGACCTTCCCTTTCACTTCCCTTGTATCTCCTTGGTTTTTTCAGTAGTTGTGCTGCTGTTCAGTGAGTGAGTCTGGGCCTCTGTATTCTTTTTTCCTTGGGGAGGAATAGAGCAATATCAGTTTTGCCAGTTATTTCCTTAGTTTTCTTAGGTTGATTGGGATGCCACCTTCATACTCAATGAATGTGTCTGTCTAGATTAAGTTCGTAGTACAATCATAAGCTCCATGAATAATTTTTTGTAATGAGATTCAAATAGTCTGCAATATTTTCCATAAAAACAGCAAGGTTGCATTTGGTTTGCTGATATCCAAACTGGATAAAAGAAATTGAAGATTTCCTTTACAATGTTTCTTTTCCTTCATTATCCATGAATCAAACTGAATCTAAATGATAATCATGTTGGTTTGAAAACCAAAATCAGTTGGCAAGTGTCTTGCATTCCAGTATCGGTGGAAGATACAAGGTGTTATTGGAAATTTTGTTGTGGCTAATGATAAACTTGAAGATTACACTTGCCTCGCGGGACTGTCTTGTACAAGAATTGTAGCCTGGAATTGCTTTGTTTGTTGTACTTATAAACGTTTATATCAATTTTAGGTGCAATGTCTATAGCAATTTATCAGGAGGAAAACATTTTTGTATTTCTGCAATCCATGTGCTTTCAATGTGCAAGGGTTTTATACTCTATTTCTGCTATCTACGTGCTTTCAATGTGTAAGGGTTTTATTCATCCCGGTTAGGTTCGAGTACTTGGCCTTTATTCATCCTGGTGAGCATTTAGACGGGACCTTTTTTATTCGACGCGAAGGCTTTTGGCACCCGCAGAGGAATGGTAACAGCTCTTCCTTCTCCCTCTTAGTCTGCAGATTGATATGGTCAGCCTATCAGTAGGGAACAAATGTTTCTAGCAAAGAGAATTGGGTCTCAAACGGGGTAATAAAGTCAATGTTTATCTGAGAATACCAATTGTTTATTGGCAAATCTAGAAAAGCCAATTCCAGTTTTTGAGGATAAGATGGACAAAAACATGTGACTGGAAGCCTAGGCTCTCATTTTATACTGAACTCTGGTTTAGTTTTCGCAAGTCTGCTGAGACTGACAATTGAAGTTGCAAAGCAAGGACATCCGAAGAAAATAATTTTTGTAACAAGCCTTCTTTCCAACTTCTGTAACCCCATTCTCAATTCAGAATTTTGCACTTAGGCGCCTGTGACGACCATCTTTCATTAATATACCAAAGCTTATACACCACAAGACAAAAAGATCATGCCAACCGTTGATGTACACGTACTCATTAATCATTTACTGACTCATGAATAGCTCTTATTATGATTACAAAAAGAAAAAAAGAAAAAAGGAAGAAAGCGGATGCCATTATACATCATCATCCTTGCCTAAATCCCATATGAGTGGGTTCGGCCACATGAATTCTCCAACCTCCATTGTACAATATACTCTTCTCTCATAACATAAGCAAAGTAAAGAACCCAATTTAAACGCGTCCAGCATTCACAGAGGATCTCGGCTACTTGAAAGATGTGAAGAAGCTGACCGTGTCATTAAGAGCATGAATGAAGTCATCAACGTCCTCTTTTGTGTTGTAAAAGTGAAGGCTTGCCCGTGCACTTGCATTGATTCCTAAAAATCGATGGAGAGGCTGTGCGCAGTGGTGACCAGATCTAATAGCTACTCCATGCTGAAACAGAATATGCTCCTTGTCACAAAATCCATTTTCCACAACATTTCAAAAGTTTCTTGGGTAAATTCCACTTACCTCCCCTGAAACATTAGAATAATATGCAACACATAAATCTACCGCACTGGAAAGGTCCTGAATTTTTGTAGATACCTGTTGATCAAGAAAAGTTGCAATATCTGTAGGATGAATGTCTTTAACGTTGAAAGAACAAAGCGCAGCTCGCTGGACAGTTTGAGAAGGTACTGGACCATATATTTGTACGTTGGGGACTGATCGTAGGTTTTCATATAGATAATTAGACAGTTCTACCTGGAAACACAAAATTGGAATAAAAAAGCCATCGAATCATACAAACATCCCTCTTGGTATAGCATACCTTTAGAATTACTAACTTCTAAAGTCATATTCACTTGGTTTTATATTAATGTAATGCACCTAAAAATAAGAACTCAGTCATATTCTTGCTCAAGTTTTCCCTAATTTCATATTGGAAGGTGAAAGCTTAATCAGTAACACCTAAAATTCTCTCGTAAAGTAAATTATCTAGCAGAAAATGTAAAGAATAATGTAAGAAGTTTCAAAATGCAAATAATAGGGTAATAAGGATATGCCAATTGACAAGTAAAAATAGCACATCAGAAGAAAACAGCTCCAAATTGGCAATAGAGTAAAGCAGGATCCACCTGGAACTTGAACCAGCAGCCCCCCCAACCCACCTAAAAAATAAAATAAAATAAATAAAGGAAAAGAAAACCTGTGTTTTCAGGCTCCTAAATGCTTTCATAAAGAACAGTTGCCCTACACCCAAAAAAACAAAAAACAAAAGAAGGAAAGAAAACCCTATGTTTCAGTAATTTGAGTGATCAAAGCTGGGTCGGGTTTCACTAAATTGGTTTATCAGGTTTGAAAGGCCAGTAAGTATCCAAATGCACATACAAAAAGTATTGAGGCTTGCAAGCATGAGCCTACAAGAGTTAAAACAGTCGTACTAAAGTATCACGATAATTTCAAGCAGGGCACTTTAAAAAAGAGGCTGCAGCTGTGCACCATTTACTATGAAAACTCCATGAGAAATTCGTGCCCTACTTGAATGAATTTTTCCTAGGGTTTGGAAGCATCACTCATTCGAGCAGGGCACTAAAAAAAGAGGCTGCGGCTGCACCATTTACTATGAAAACTCCCTGAGAAATTTGTGCCCTATTCGAATGAGTGATGCTACCAAACCCTAGGACAAATTCATGAAAAAAAAATTGTGTGATACTAGGTTTCTCATCATTATTCTACAATTTGCTGTTTTTAACAAGTAGCCATTGCAGGTCTCAATTGTAAAGGTTTCTAGATGGCTGTACCACTGTCTTTCACTAATCCCGCCTTGAATTGACGTCGGGGTTAAAAAGAATCTGGGAAATCCATAAAAATTAGGGAGGGCCATCTTTAATGGACCCACCACACCAACGGGCCAGTGGCCTAGCGGTATCAAGCTCTTACTTTCCAAAGGGAGGTCCGGGGTTCGACTCTCAGAAGAGATGTGTGTGTGAGTACCAACTAGGAAAAAAAAAAAAAAATGGACCCACCACCTAGATGAAAAATATATATATGAGAGAGATGAGTGAGTAACCGACTAATTGAGTACATGCAGAAATCAAATATGTTATATATGTTGTGTCCACAGAAGAACGAAGGCCATCAGATTTGAACTCCATTTCTCTTTATATCCAAATTTAGATACATGGATTTCACACATACAAGTGACATATTCTAACACCTTACCTGACCTTTAATTTAGAGCTAGCTAGCTGATATTGCATTTCATTAAACAAGAGGCAAAGGACTCACCTCATAATCATGAATGTTTTGCATGCCAATTCCAGAGAGATAATCAATTGCTGCTCCTAACCCAATTGCTTCTCCAATGGCAGGTGTCCCAGCTTCAAATCTGACAAATTGAAGAGTGGATGTACAATGATTTAAAAACTCGCATATAAAATGAAATAAAAAAGTGGAAGGCAAGTGCCAAAAAGGATTCCCATTTATAAACACTTACAGGGAAAATCCATAATACACGCCCATTAAAATACTTGATATTAATATTAAATTTAAGGCTGCTGAAATGGTGTAACACGGAATACTTTATACTTGAATGAAGATGTAAGCCATCTTTTCAAACCATGAGGAACAAGGAAGCTTTTCATATAAATTCAGAAAACAACATGTGTGCATAATATAGTAAAAAGTTTTAAAACACCAAGAGGGGACAAAATCAAGGGGGCATATTTAGAGCAAGTGAAATAAGATGATTTGGTCACGCATAGTAGAAAACAATGACTACCCCAATTAAGTCACTTGTGTGAGTCTTAAGGGGTGGAATACCATGGAAAGGAGAAAAAGGCAACAAAGAGTAATTGAGATAGTAAGAGATAATGTCACAGCCAACAATTGACAGGAAATAAGAATGTAGTATGAGATTCATCCAACCGATAGTACTTGTTTATAACAGGAAAAACAAGCTCATTGCTAAAGCATTCAAAGCACATTGACAAAAAGTAAGGTCTATGGATCTTGATCAAATAATTAGACCATTGAGTTAGGATTCAAGTTTACTAATGGTTGGCAAAGTGAGATTTCTTACTTGATTCCTTAATTAGCACAACAATCCAAACAAAGACTAACACAACTGCCAGAAATCAGAAAGAAACTTGCCAAGTAATCTCCTTTAATTCAAAGGTCAGATATGGTAAATAGAAATTCCAAAGGTAACTTTTGAAGCTAGGAAATTTAAAATGATAATGTACCCATTAACCATATTGCACAAAGGAACACTTCTTCCTGAGATTAAACATAGTCTAAAAGCATAAATTCTAAGTTCGGAAGGGAAAAAAAAAAAAAAAACAAGTACCATCAGTGACGATTCAATATCTCTAATTAGCTGGGAACTCGTGAATATGCCAATATTTGCCTCTCAATTTAAAGAATAATGTTGTACATGTAGAGAAACATGACTCGGCCCCTGCACTAATGGATCACAAAAAGGAGATGATTCCGTAACTTGGGAAAGAACCATAACATAAATAGTCCATATTTGCAGAGTTATTTGGGAAACCCTCACTAGCTTTTAGTGATCTCTAAAAAGTAATCCCTCCCAAAATTAATGTCCCTTTTAAGGACTCCAACTTTCTAAAGAGACATCCACTTAATGAAGAAAAAAGGAGCCTTATGAAGAGTATGTTTTCTTTTTTCAAACCCATGACCTCCAAGTAACAATGGAGCAACCTTACGTTCGCCAAGGCTCGCCCTCATGCACTTAATGCACATATGCCCTTAAAATTTCAAAACTAGCCCTCCAAAAGTTTTAAGGATATATATTATTGATTAGGAAAGTTTTTAGAAGTCAGGGATAATTTGGAGAACTACAATTGGATTACATTTAACTTTCAAAGAAAACCTATTTTGGGACATCACAAAAAGGAATGAAGGACAAAAGTATGAGGTACTGAATCTTTTAAAATAGGGTAAAATATGAGAACTGAAATTTTAAAAAATAAATAATTAATTAAAGGGAAAGCAGCTAAGAGGAATGAATGGAAAAACAATATTACTCGGGAACATTTCTATGCCTCAGTCTGTTAAACTCCCACCATCACCCATGTGCTTTCTAGA